AACTGTGCAAACTAACACAAACCACAAACAAACCGATACGTGAAGTTCCTTAAGTTACACACAACAAACCTAATAGCGGAACAAGATCCACAACCCCACTAGTGATCAGCATTGTGTTTGTGTTATTTTTTTTGAATTTTCAATAAACTTGAGGTGTTTTATGATTAATAGTGATGTTGTGCTTGTACTATTTTGGACACACTGTCCTCAGGCTCCAGCTTTATGTTTTATGTGATAGTATAAAACAAGAAAACTATCTGAAGTTGTTGTTTTTAAGTTATATACAGTGGGGAAAAAAGTATTTAGTCAGCCACCAATTGTGCAAGTTCTCCCACTTAAAAAGATGAGAGAGGCCTGTAATTTTCATCATAGGTACACGTCAACTATGACAGACAAATTGAGGGAAAAAATCCAGAAATCACATTGTAGGATTTTTAATGAATTTATTTGCAAATTATGGTGGAAAATAATAAGTTTGGTCACCTACAAACAAGCAAGATTTCTGGCTCTCACAGACCTGTAACTTCTTCTTTAAGAGGCTCCTCTGTCCTCCACTCATTACCTGTATTAATGGCACCTGTTTGAACTTGTTATCAGTATAAAAGACACCTGTCCACAACCTCAAACAGTCACACTCCAAACTCCACTATGGCCAAGACCAAAGAGCTGTCAAAGGACACCAGAAACAAAATTGTAGACCTGCACCAGGCTGGGAAGACTGAATCTGCAATAGGTAAGCAGCTTGGTTTGAAGAATCAACTGTGGGAGCAATTATTAGGAAATGGAAGACATACAAGACCACTGATAATCTCCCTCGATCTGGGGCTCCACGCAAGATCTCAGCCTGTGGGGTCAAAATGATCACAAGAACGGTGAGCAAAAATCCCAGAACCACATGGGGGGACCTAGTGAATGACCTGCAGAGAGCTGGGACCAAAGTAACAAGCCTACCATCAGTAACACACTACGCCGCCAGGGACTCAAATCCTGCAGTGCCAGACGTGTCCCCCTGCTTAAGCCAGTACATGTCCAGGCCCGTCTGAAGTTTGCTAGAGTGCATTTGGATGATCCAGAAGAGGATTGGGAGAATGTCATATGGTCAGATGAAACCAAAATAGAACTTTTTGGTAAAAACTCAACGTGTCGTGTTTGGAGGACAAAGAATGCTGAGTTGCATCCAAAGAACACCATACCTACTGTGAAGCATGGGGGTGGAAACATCATGCTTGGGGCTGTTTTTCTGCAAAGGGACCAGGACGACTGATCCGTGTAAAGAAAGAATGAATGGGGCCATGTATCGTGAGATTTTGAGTGAAAACCTCCTTCCATCAGAAAGGGCATTGAAGATGAAACGTGGCTGGGTCTTTCAGCATGACAATGATCCCAAACACAACCGCCCGGGCAACGAAGGAGTGGCTTCGTAAGAAGCATTTCAAGGTCCTGGAGTGGCCTAGCCAGTCTCCAGATCTCAACCCCATAGAAAATCTTTGGAGGGAGTTGAAAGTCCGTGTTGCCCAGCGACAGCCCCAAAACATCACTGCTCTAGAGGACATCTGCATGGAGGAATGGGCCAAAATACCAGCAACAGTGTGTGAAAACCTTGTGAAGACTTACAAAAAACGTTTGACCTGTGTCATTGCCAACACAAGGGTATATAACAAAGATTGAGAAACTTGTTATTGACCAAATACTTATTTTCCACCATAATTTGCAAATAAATTCATAAAAAATCCTACAATGTGATTTTTCTGGAATTTCTTTCCTCATTTTGTCTGTCATAATTGATGTTACCTATGATGAAGATTACAGGCCTCTCTCATCTTTTTAAGTGGGAGAACTTGCACAATTGGTGGCTGACTAAATACTTTTTTTTCCCCACTGTATACCATGATTTTACCGTTCCGGCCCACTTGGGAAAGATTTTCCTCCATGTGGCCCCTGAGCTAAAATGAGTTTGACACCCCTGATCTAAACGATCTAGAACTAAACATAGAAAACACAACATAGAAACTACACAACCCTGGCTCAACATTTAAGAGTCCCCCAGAGCCAGGGCGTGACAAATAAGTCAAAAATACCTAATCAGTTTCGTTTTTGGGGTTGATAAAGTTGTTCAACATACTCTAATTCCTACATGTTTATATCACACAAGGACAAGTAATCTTAGCAACCAGAAATAGTACGGATTGTGCCTTAAACATTGTTGAAGAGTGACAACAAAGTAGAAAGGGCAAGCCATGTCTCATTAAGTGAGTGTATGTCTATATTGGATGAGTCAAACAGAAACATTAACATCCATTAACAGCTATAACAACTCAAACGTAATGCATTTACAAACAAATACAATTTATTGATGAAAATAACATTTCAATGTAACTTCAACAGAATCATCTTGCATCTCTAAAACACAAAACTAAAGAAGTGCAAATAAGATCTGGTACACACTGCTGAAGGAACTTCTGTGGTGTGTGTGTTTAAGACTGGAACTACTCAGCGTATGAGTCGTTTGATGATGATACCCTAGGTGATGAAGAGGAAGAGCAGCCCGAGGATTACCAGGGTCGGGTCGTATAGCGAGATTTTGTAGTAATTGCTGGAATGAACTGTGTTCTGTATATCAGAGCATTGTGTGTTGTGTTTATTTTTTTTGAATTTTCAAAAATGAGGTGTTTTATGATTATATGATGTTGTCTTGACTATTTTGGACACACTGTCCTCAGGCTCCAGCTTTATGTTTTATGTGATAGTATAAAACAAAGAAACTATCTGAAGTTGTTGTTTTTAAGTTATATACAGTGGGGAAAAAAGTATTTAGTCAGCCACCAATTGTGCAGTTCTCCACTTAAAAAGATGAGAGAGGCCTGTAATTTTCATCATAGGTACACGTCAACTATGACAGACAAATTGAGGGAAAAAATCCAGAAAATCACATTGTAGGATTTTTAATGAATTTATTTGCAAATTATGGTGGAAAATAAGTATTTGGTCACCTACAAACAAGCAAGATTTCTGGCTCTCACAGACCTGTAACTTCTTCTTTAAGAGGCTCCTCTGTCCTCCACTCATACCTGTATTAATGGCACCTGTTTGAACTTGTTATCAGTATAAAAGACACCTGTCCACAACCTCAAACAGTCACACTCCAAACTCCACTATGGCCAAGACCAAAGAGCTGTCAAAGGACACCAGAAACAAAATTGTAGACCTGCACCAGGCTGGGAAGACTGAATCTGCAATAGGTAAGCAGCTTGGTTTGAAGAAATCAACTGTGGGAGCAATTATTAGGAAATGGAAGACATACAAGACCACTGATAATCTCCCTCGATCTGGGGCTCCACGCAAGATCTCAGCCTGTGGGGTCAAAATGATCACAAGAACGGTGAGCAAAAATCCCAGAACCACATGGGGGGACCTAGTGAATGACCTGCAGAGAGCTGGGACCAAAGTAACAAAGCCTACCATCAGTAACACACTACGCCGCCAGGGACTCAAATCCTGCAGTGCCAGACGTGTCCCCCTGCTTAAGCCAGTACATGTCCAGGCCCGTCTGAAGTTTGCTAGAGTGCATTTGGATGATCCAGAAGAGGATTGGGAGAATGTCATATGGTCAGATGAAACCAAAATAGAACTTTTTGGTAAAAAACTCAACGTGTCGTGTTTGGAGGACAAAGAATGCTGAGTTGCATCCAAAGAACACCATACCTACTGTGAAGCATGGGGGTGGAAACATCATGCTTTGGGGCTGTTTTTCTGCAAAGGGACCAGGACGACTGATCCGTGTAAAGGAAAGAATGAATGGGGCCATGTATCGTGAGATTTTGAGTGAAAACCTCCTTCCATCAGCAAGGGCATTGAAGATGAAACGTGGCTGGGTCTTTCAGCATGACAATGATCCCAAACACACCGCCCGGGCAACGAAGGAGTGGCTTCGTAAGAAGCATTTCAAGGTCCTGGAGTGGCCTAGCCAGTCTCCAGATCTCAACCCCATAGAAAATCTTTGGAGGGAGTTGAAAGTCCGTGTTGCCCAGCGACAGCCCCAAAACATCACTGCTCTAGAGGACATCTGCATGGAGGAATGGGCCAAAATACCAGCAACAGTGTGTGAAAACCTTGTGAAGACTTACAGAAAACGTTTGACCTGTGTCATTGCCAACAAAGGGTATATAACAAAGTATTGAGAAACTTTTGTTATTGACCAAATACTTATTTTCCACCATAATTTGCAAATAAATTCATAAAAAATCCTACAATGTGATTTTCTGGAATTTCTTTTCTCATTTTGTCTGTCATAATTGATGTGTACCTATGATGAAGATTACAGGCCTCTCTCATCTTTTTAAGTGGGAGAACTTGCACAATTGGTGGCTGACTAAATACTTTTTTTCCCCACTGTATACCATGATTTTACCGGTCCGGCCCACTTGGGAAAAGATTTTCCTCCATGTGGCCCCTGAGCTAAAATGAGTTTGACACCCCTGATCTAAACGATCTAGAAACTAAACATAGAAAACACAACATAGAAACTACACACCCTGGCTCAACATTTAAGAGTCCCCAGAGCCAGGGCGTGACAAATAAGTCAAAAATACCTAATTCAGTTCGTTTTTGGGGTTGATAAAGTTGTTCAACATACTCTAATTCCTACATGTTTATATCACACAAGGACAAGTAATCTTAGCAACCAGAAATAGTACGGATTGTGCCTTAAACATTGTTGAAGAGTGACAACAAAGTAGAAAGACAAGCCATGTCTCATTAAGTGAGTGTATGTCTATATTGGATGAGTCAAACAGAAACATTAACATCCATTAACAGCTATAACAACTCAAACGTAATGCATTTACAAACAAATACAATTTATTGATGAAAATAACATTTCAATGTAACTTCAACAGAATCATCTTGCATCTCTAAAACACAAAACTAAAGAAGTGCAAATAAGATCTGGTACACACTGCTGAAGGAACTTCTGTGGTGTGTGTGTTTAAGACTGGAACTACTCAGCGTATGAGTCGTTTGATGATGATACCATAGGTGATGAAGAGGAAGAGCAGCCCGAGGATTACCAGGGTCAGGGTCACAGTATTAAAGCAGCATGCAGTATTCCCGAGTTTTCTTGCTCCTTCCAAGTCTCCAACCATCTTCCTATCCCTGGACTGGAAAACAAAATGTACAATAATTTATATTATAGAATCATTCATATGTTGCTGATTGTGTTTATGTAGCTATGCATATTAGTTAACAACATGCCCACAACATAACATGTCACACTAATGGGAGGATCTCAGTAATGTATTATCTCAGTGGTTTAATACTCCTTAATACACTTTTGGAGGTCAGGTCTATAGAGCCTATAGATGAAGTATAGGCTACACATTTTTATAACAGTGTGATAACAAGCAGGCAAAACACGAATTTAGAAAAATGTTATACTGTCCTCCTCCTTCCATAGTTCAAAGTGGGTCGCCTATATAGTAACTTGCTCAACTTCTAAATCCAGACAATAAAAGCACCCATACCAGACATTTCTATAATAAGTAATATAATGAGAATTCCAACTCACCTTTATGGAGAAATACACAGCTAACATTCCGAAACAGAATGGGTTGCCGTACACAAGGCTGCAAAGTGACCAGATAATGTGATCCTTGGGCTGAGGTACATCGGGCTGGTGCTGTCCCAAGACGACGGTATGTTGGAACTTGGCCGCTCCGTGAGGGTCTTCATGGGGCACGTACGTATTTCCTGTCATTGGGACACACTCTGGCTGGTACGATGGTGGTTGATCCATGGCAAGCGAATATAGCTACTTATTTAGCTTAGTGTTAAAAAATACCGAAGAGCCGAAGATAAGTTTATTTTGTGAGGACAGGTGAATGTGTAAGTTTTGATTTCCAGACACCCTCTTGGATAATAGGGGAGGGTTGTCTAATTAGTTTTCGCTTTTGGGAGTGTATACCAGTCAAACTGTATATCATGCTCTCTGTGTACCATTCATAGTGACAATAGTGGTAGGTGGATCGTTTGTCCAGTTCTGCAATAGGCTAGCTAGCTATCATACCACACATAAAATCATTAAAAGCTGCACCAATTTTCTATATACATCTACAAGAACATAGATGAATATCTGATAGGCAGCGGAGATGCCAGTTGCGTCATTGCGCATGAAAGATCAAGCCCTCTCCCCTCTCTTGCACAATTGTGTAACTTTTCGAAGATGCCAGGTGAATTTAAAACATGCCCTTGTAATGATGTGAATTATTTATTTTTTAAATAAGACCTTTTAATAATTTCCATATGCAAGAATGTAATGAAACAGGTACGGAGAGCGAGCTTGTCCGTGGTAGGTAGGTAGCTAACCAGGATGCTTCTGCCGGAGCCTAGCACTCTGTCGACGGCTCAGCCCAATTATATTTAGATGATTGTGCCCAAGGCTGCAGAACAAAAGGTTGAGAGTTCGGCGACCGTCGCGGACAAGTATATGGAAATAATTATTAACTAATTGATCATTAATCCGTTGGGTGAGTCGATTCACATTCTTATGAAGGCATGGTTATGGTTATGAATTATGATGTATTAACTCAAGCAATTAAAACGTTTGCTAAATGATAAATCACATTAATAAATGTAATGCGAAAGATCTCCTACATGCAACAGGGGCCCGTGATATAATAAATATAATGAAACAGGTTAGGAGAATGGGCTTGCCGTTGGTGGTCGGCGAACGTACAACCATCTGGCCTGAGGTTGGGGGTGTAGACCACTGCAGACAATTATTTTTACATTTTGTACAACCATCTGGCCTGAGGTTGGGGGTGTAGACCACTGCAGACAATTATTTTTACATTTTAGTCATTTAGCAGACGCTCTTATCCAGAGTGACTTACAGTTAGTGAGTGCATACAAAAAAATAATTATACTGGCCCCCGTGGGAATCAAACCCACAACCATGGCGTTGCAAGTGCCATGCTCTACCAACTGAGCTTCACAGGGAAACTATTCAACGTTGCATAAATGTATACCATGCAGACCTGGGTTCAATATACTTGAAAATTCCTTTCAAACAATTTGAGTGTTTGCTTGAGTCTACGTGTAGTGCCAGATGGGCCGGGGTTTCAGGGTTGGGACATTTCTATTGGTATATTAAGCCAGAGCAGGCAAGCTATTATTTTACGTGTGCTTGGTGAGGTTAGACAAGCTCAAACAGGGACAGATAAACTATTTGAAATTATTTTGATACCATGGCTTGCATGAATTGAGATGTTATGTTTATGATTAATGAATGCAAGTATATTATAAAGCAAAATGTGGGAAATATACAACATAATAAAGCTAACTCATTCCCCCACATGACCTATAAAATATTATCAACTGGTTACACTGTGTGAAGAAAATGCTAGCTACCTACTCACTATTCAGACAATGTAGGCCTATAGTTGAAAATGAATTGATGGGAACAAAGTATGAATCTGGCTTGAATGTTTTGTACAGTTGAAATCAGTCATTGTCAAAGTGTTTACCCTTAGCTCTGACTGTTGAGTGTCTGGTATGCTTACTTTTAAGTCTTAACCACTCTCCTGTGTCTGTTTGCATTTGTAAATCTTCTAATGAACCTGATTATCTTGTTGAACAGGACAAACCACCATTCACTGCTTGAACAGCTGCACAGATGACAACCCCATAAAAATGCTCAATGTATTATGTATTTACAAAGCACTAGGGTTATTCAATTCTGGTCCTGGAGACCAACAGGGTGTGCAGGCTTTTATTCCAGCCCAGTAACACTCCTCTATCAACTAATCAAGGGCTTGATAAGTAGAATCAGGTATAGTCCTGGGCTATAACAAAAGCCTGCATACCCTGGAGTTAAGATCAGCTTGCTTTAAACCAGACACACCAAAACCACACATACAGCATTATCTTTTGATTTATTAGCATCAATTAAAGGCATCTCATTTTGTGGTGCAAAGAAGTTCACAATTTCACTTCTCTTCAGACAGGCGATATGAGTGGAAATGCTACCTAATGCAGAAACACTAACAGTGATAAGCTGCAACATAGCAATCGAGTCTGGGCTTGTGAGAAGAGATAATGACTACGTTTCCTGTACAGGAAACAGTGGTGGTTCTTAATTCCCCAGCCCTAATTCAACCAAACTACAACTCTTCAGTGATTCATTCTGGTACAGAGTATTTACACAAATCAACACTAATATACAGAAAACATTTTTTATAGTGATTAAAAGTCAAGGAAACAGATTAAACACTATACTGACAATGGAATGAAAATTATACTATAAACAACTGAATAAATGCATGGATTTTTCAGATAGCGTCTGTGTATTTGACCCGATGTAGTTTGGGGACAGATCTTCTCCCATAGGGCTGCAGTCTGACTATATTCATTTCTGTGTGAACTTAGGCTAAATGGACAGGAAACTACATGTAAGAACTGACTCTCTCGTCATCTGTGCAGTAAGTAGCCTGAGGAATTACAAAAATAATAATCATGATCGTTTGCCATTTAATTATCTATAGCATTTACGGACGGTTGGTAGTACGATCTTCTATAGTGGATGGTAAGTGCAACAGGTGGAACTGCCCCAGGTGGAAGTTAAGGCATCACATCTTGGAGGAGGCAGCGATGGCAGACGCACCTCCACGGGTGTACACTCTCACAGAGTCCTGGTAGAGAGGAGCAGGGAAGGAGTCAAAGGGAAAGAAAGGGAAAATAGATTTGTGGATATAAACCAGTAAAACACAATCTTCTTTTCGAGGGGTCCTGAGAGAAACAGTTACAACACAAATACATATTAAATGGGAAGGAATAAGACAAAAGTACTATTCGCATCTGCAACAAGCCGACTCAGATATGCGAGCGCTTTTCCTATTTTAACTATACTTTTATTGAAATAGGCAAAGACCATTTTAATTGACATAAGCTTTGGTGTACGTTGACAATAATGAATGGACTTACCTTCGTGGGCTCAGTGTTGTTGAGTAGGGCCTGAACCCTGTTTCCATAGTCTGCATGCACAGCCATCAGGTTCTGAATCTGAAAAAACAGGGGTTCAGAACATTTTGGATAGCGATGGCAGTAAAATAATTACATTATACAACATTATATTACAAAGATGACCTTCGTGGTGTTAGGGTCTGACAAACAGAGTAAAAATTCACAGATGACTAGGAAAAGCTAAAACCAAGTTTATTCACCCACTGGGTCAAACAGCTGCATAAGACAAAGACATGTTTCCACAAGTACATATATTTATACCCTCTACTGGGCGGAGTCAACTCCTTGCACATCTAGACAGCCAATACATATCTGTTGCTAGGCAGGAACTTAAGTGGTTCCTCTCATTGGTGTAGTCATGGTCCTGCCTCCTATGTCTCAATCTCATAGGACTGTTCCTCCTCACTTCATCTGACCTGACCTCGGCCCACATTCCTCACTCCTCCCTAATCCACGGCTATACAACCTTTTTTCAGTGACTGAAACCAGACTGTTGCCCTTCTCCTCTCCATAGGATACATGAGATTTAACCATAACATCATGAAGTGCTTTGAGAGACTAGTCAAGGATCATATCACCTCTACCTTACCTGTCACCCTAGACCCACTTCAATTTGCTTACCGCCCCAATAGATCCACAGACGATGCAATCGCCATCACACTACACACTGCCCTATCCCATCTGGGCCAGAGGAATACCTATGTAAGAACGCTGTTCATTGACTATAGCTCAGCATTCAACATCATAGTACCCTCCAAGCTCATCATTAAGCTTGAGGCCCTGGGTCTGAACCCCGTCCTGTGCAGACTTCAATCTCAAATCCATCAGACTGTTAAATAGCCTTCACTAGCACATTAGAGGCTGCTGCCTATACACATAGACTAGAAATCACTGGCCACTTTAATAAATGGAACAATAGTCACTTTAATAATGTTTACATATCTTGCATTACTCATCTCATATGTACAGTGGGGAAAAAAAGTATTTAGTCAGCCACCAATTGTGCAAGTTCTCCCACTTAAAAAGATGAGAGAGGCCTGTAATTTTCATCATAGGTACACGTCAACTATGACAGACAAAATGAGAAAAACTATCCAGAAAATCACATTGTAGGATTTTTAATTTTTCTCCACAGGTGGACTCTAAAAACTTGTTTTCACTTTTTCATTATGGGGTATTGTGTGTGTGTGTGTGTGTGTGGGTTGCTGAGGATTTTATTTTTCTTAATCCATTTTAGAATAATGCTAATGTAACAATGTGGAAAGTCAAGGGTCTGAATACTTTCCGAAGGCACTGTACATTTATGCAACATGTTGTGTAATTGTCTGAGGTGGTCGGCACCCCCAATCATAGGTACACGTCAACTATGACAGACAAAATGAGGAAAACAATTCCAGAAAATCACATTGTAGGATTTTTTTATGAATTTATTTGCAAATTATGGTGGAAAATAAGTATTTGGTCAATAACAAAAGTTTCTCAATACTTTGTTATATACCCTTTGTTGGCAATGACACAGGTCAAACGTTTTCTGTAAGTCTTCACAAGGTTTTCACACACTGTTGCTGGTATTTTGGCCCATTCCTCCATGCAGATCTCCTCTAGAGAAGTGATGTTTTGGGGCTGTCGCTGGGCAACACAGACTACGTTTTTTTGTGAGAAGAGATAATGACTACGTTTCCTGTACAGGAAACAGTGGTGGTTCTTAATTCCCCAGCCCTAATTCAACCAAACTACAACTCTTCAGTGATTCATTCTGGTACAGAGTATTTACAC